CTCTGCCCCAGAGCCCATGATCAAGGGCTTTCTTTTGTTCTGATACAACCATCGACGGTTGAGAACTGAATTCTGGCTGTTCCTGGTCTCAAAGCCACAAGCATAGAATCGAATGGGTTTTCCTTTCTATACTGAAGCCAAGAAATCTGAGTAGACCATGGCATCTTTCTTTACTGTAACAGACATTCTGAGGTATGCTGAATTATGAGACACAATTCCTTGCATGTCTGTCACATGTACAAGAAACTTCTGACCTTATACATATGCTGTATAACATGAGAAAATGTCATGAGCATTTAAGCTTTCTGTTTTGACCGACCTTTCTTGTTCTTTATGTAAACCAATCTCTAGTGTTGTATTACTTGATTGGAGTATGTTTAAATGAACAAAGAAGAGGACAGTCTCATGTGGGCTACCTCTGAGTCATGTGGCAAGAAGAAAAACGAAACAGGAAAACTTAGGGCCACATTCTTTTACAGCAGCCAGAAAGTACAATCAGAGCACCTGAAAACTCGGAGGTAGAGAACAGTGGGGAGTCTCAGCTCTCTTCCTGACAAATGAGCCCATAGTACAGGCACACTGTGCTAACCAGCCGTCTGTCTGCGAAGATACTCAACTCACGGGGAGCTCAGCTTCTCTCTCATTTATGACTGGAAACGGGGTGCAAACAACGGAGAATCAATGCATCGTTCTGGATTACTGATGTTAGAGAAAACGTTCACCTCATACTGGGGTGTTCAGAGGTAGTGACAGCACTGGGGTCACAGAAAACCATGGCCAAGGATTGCAGTCCTGTGTGGCACTGCAGGATACGCAAGGGACTGCCAACTCCATGGCACTTAAAACAACAACAGTAAGGCGGCCTGGTTCACCCATGGGTGTGGCCTTGGGTGCATGACCTGCCCTGGGTCTCAGGTTCCTCATGAATAAACTGAGTACAATAAATCAGTTTCCTCATAGTGTTGCTTGAATTACAAACACGGAACTCACAGACATCGGTCTTTAAAAACACTGTCTAAAGCTCTACTTGGTGAGCCGATTTTCCTTTCTCAGTAACTATAATTAATTCCACTTTCTTGACTATATGGAATAACTTTGTAGACCAAGCCTATATTTAATTTGGTGACCCCCCTCCCCTTCCTTCCAAAGGCAAATCTGAGCACCTCATTCTTTGTCCTAAGGCACAATTTTTTAAAGGTAACAAGCCATCATTCTTGTGAGTTCATTTCTTAAAGGACCTCCCCACACAGAGGAAGCCGAGGAAAGGTGCTTTCTGGGGAATCAGGTCTTCACTCTTCTCCCTGACACTGTCAAATACATCTCCTCCAAGAAGGAAAAGAAATTTGAATCACTGACAAGTCACCAATAACTGCACATCTATGTAGCACGTTAGGGGTTTATATAACCGAGTTGGTATTTTTATCTCCAATCATAATGTTTCACATGATATTACGTTCACAGCAAGCTGATTGAATCAAAGTAAACTTTGAATTGTGTTAAGCTTTATCACTTAGGATGTCTTGGCTGGCATTCTTATGTAGCAATAAAAATTTCATTCCCAAGAAAACAACAATACAGGGTCACAAGAATATGATGCAAAACTGGTAGTAAAAATGGGCTGAATAAATTAAGTAGCATTTTTCATACATTCTGAGGAAAACAATGATTAATCCTCAATTATGAGATCTGGTTTGCCATTTCAGTTTATCAGTGCCTCTGTCAACTCAACTGCTAGCTTAGAGTCCAAGTCTTAATCTTTCTAAGGATATTTTTCTTATTGACTTTGATTGTTTTTGTTATTATGAGCTGTGGAGTCGGTTCCGACTCATAGCGACACTGTACAGGGTTTCTGAGGCTGTAAATCTTTATGGGAGCCGAAAGCCACATCGTTCTCCTGCAGAACAGCTGGTAGTTTCAAACTGCTGACCTTGCGGTTCACAGCCCGATTCGTAACCACTACACTACCAGAGCTCCTTTGATTAGCAATGGATTTTTCTTTGAAACGATATATCAGCATCTACTTGAAACTTGAAGGAGCTCTGGTAGCGTAGTGGTTATGAATCGGGCTGCGAACCTGAAGGTCAGCAGTTCGAAACTACCAGCCGCTCTGCGGGAGAAAGATGAGGCTTTCTACTCCGGTAAAGATTTACACCCTCGGAAACCCTGTACAGGGTCGCAATGGGTCGGAACCGACTCGGCGGCACTTAACAACAACAACAACTTGAAACTTGAGATTAAGCCACTAATCCTAGCTACTTTGAAGAATGAAGATCATTCAATACACAAACATATTTGAGAACACTGTTCCCCACCCTTTTTTTTTTTTTTTTAAACCCTGAAGCTGAGTTGCAATTTGTTCAAGTACTTTACCTAATACTTAACGTGCACTCAGCAGACGGAGACACCGGACTCATTCTCCTTACAGTATATTGACTTTAGTTTCATTAGTTCTAGACTTTCCTGGTAGCTTTAGTGAGAAGTCTTTTCTAAAACACTCCTGATAACCAGTGCAATTCTCTAACAAAAGCCCATCCTGTAACCCTCCCAACCATAAGATTTCCTTTATTAGAAACAGAGAGACTTCTGGGATTGCTCTCGTTCATGTGGGGGTGCTGTGATAAAGAAGATGCCACAGCAGGTACAGAAAAGATACTCTCAGCTACAGAAAAGAAAAATATGCGATTATTCGTGACACTAGAAAGTAAGAGAAGGCCTCTTAAAATGATTGTAGGCTACTATCTGCAGAAATGTTTTAAAAGGAAATATGAAAATTATAAATTGGCTCTGAAAATTGACTCAGATAACAAAGGAGTCTAGAATGTGATTTAGAAATCCTTGCTTTATGTGATCGCCCCCAAATACCTTTACAGGGGCTTTTCTAGTAAATAAAGCATCCTTCAGTCTCCAACCATGTTCTACCAAACAGATCAAAACAGTGCTTTGAAAAGTATAGCTTTTCTGTTGTTGAGTATTTTTAACCTTAAGTCTACGTGCTCTAAAGATCTACATAGCTAACAAATCCATATATGTGCACACATGCTCCTATACACACTCATGAGAAAAAAGGTCTCCACAGTCTAGAAAGCATGTTACCCTGTGTTGTAGACTGAATGATTTCCTCCAAAAAGATAGATCTTGTCCTAAACCCTGGTAGCTGTGAGCGTGACCTGGCTTAGAAATGGATGCTATCAGTTAACATGGCTTCATACTGGAGCAGGGCAGGTTCTAATCCCACCTGAGTGAGGTCCTGATAAAAGAAGAATGACCAGATAAACAGAGAGGGGTGGTCATAAGATGGACCTAAAGCCAGAGAACCCCTGCGCTACGGAGAAGCTGGGCTACACAAGAAACTTGGGCAGGAGCACAAGCTGACCGACATGTTGTTTTGGACTTCTAGCTTCCAGAACTGTGACAATACATTCCGTTCTGATAAGTCACCTACTTTGTGGGGTTTTGTTACCAGCACCTCCCAGAAACTGAAAGCAAAACAATCCACCAAACACACACACAATAACAACAAACCAGTTTCCGTCTGGTCTGTTCTGACTCATGAGAATCCCATGTGTGTCAGAGTAAGACTGTGCCCCATCAAGTGTTTAATGGCTGACTGTTCAGAAGGAGATTGCCAAACCTTTCCTCCAAATACTTGTGGTAGATGGGAACCTCCAACCTTCTTCTGTTTAGCAGCTGAGCAGACAGACCGTTTGCCCTGTCGGGAAGCCCAGGGAACTAACGTAGCCTGTCGCTAGCCTTTCTTGGTCAAAAGCCAGGACCTAAATTCTTAACTCTATCCTTCAGACCTTTACTGGTTCCTCTCTGGTCCCACTCTCCAGTCACTGTACTGAAGAGATGACAGTCAAATCACAAATCTTCTCCTGTAAAGTTGCAGTACCTTACTCGTAAATGCTTACGTGCATGGAGTGTGTTTGACTTTACAAAGTGATTGTACATAAATATTCTGGTGGCAGTGTTTGGAGTTTACAAATCCACAGTAGTGAAGACTTGCACACAGCCACACACAGAGCCAGTATGCGGCAGTAGGACTCTAGTGTCCTAGACTTTCAATTCGGCATCCATGACATAGTTCAAAGAAAATTGAAGAAAATGTGCTGTGACATGTTGGCACGCCTCAAATGTGTTTGGGAACTAACCAAACGAGCAGCGAATGCAAACCACTTTGTAAAGGTCGGATTCAAAGTCCTCAGCTGACGAAAGAACAGCAGCTGTGATAGCAATACTAGTAATGGTGTAGGTATTTAGTCAAGAATTACTAGTCTCTCCAAAGCATCTTCTCTTAGTAATTGTAGTGCAGCGAATCCTCTAACGCCTCCTTCTAGACACAACTGCAACTCCCACCAAACAGTGTTTCTGCCCCACTGGGTCTGGGTAAAAGAAGCGGGGTGAAGACAGGAATGGGATGACATGATTCACCTGTGAATGCTGGTGGAGGTCACTGTAATTGTGAAAACCTGGAACTCGAGGATGGGTATCATATAAACCATCTCAGAAGGAGGAGGGGAGATCTCATTCCATCAAGAGAAAAAACCGGGAGTGGAGCATGTTCTGTGGACCCCAAGATCCCTGAACAATGACCCTCCTGGATCCAGGGACAGAAAGCACGGACACCAGAGGAGGGCAGAGCAGAGGGCTCTCCAACCCACATAGCAGGTAAAGCTGAGTGACTGGGCAGGAGGCATTCCAGTGGGGGAGGTAGGTCTGCCGTTCCACAGAGCTAGGGCTGAAAACCTTCATGTTGAAGTGTGTGGGGGAGTGAGCATTCATTAGCAACGGACTGGAACGACTGCGCCCCAAGCATTTCTAACTCCGAGTGGTGACCTGTTAACTTCCCTAACAAACCCCAGCATTGTGAGTGTGTTGTCTGAGTTCTGTGTGGCCATGGCAATGAACCCAGATGGGAAGTAGCACCAAGGGAGGGATGGTTGGTGCTTCATATATTTTACAAGAATCAATACAATACTCAGCTCGGAAAGCAAAGATACCTTGGAAGACACTATTCTGTTATCTGGGTATCTCTGTGGAATGTAGGCCTCAGCGCCTGGTGGTGGTTCCTTATGGCCCACATAGATGGTCCGACTGTCCACCCAATTCTCTTCTCCAGCACACTGTGGGAAAAGAAAAACATTACTTCAGAGACTTCATAGTTAGGTGAAAAAGTTCTTACTCAAAATGTTGGCTTTAATGCTTATTCATATAACAAAACCCTATAGGGGCACAGCTAAACTCAGTCTAAATTCTTCAAACCAGTGGCCAAATTCTTCAAGTAAAGAATCCGAGCACACTGTCTGTACTCTCAAATGAGTGATACAGGGTACCCTTTAAAAGGTGATGGTGAATGGAAACAATATAGGATAGGTTCATATAAAATGGAACATAACAAATCTTATGGCTTCCAAAAGACAGCAATAACTACAAGCTTTAGAAAGGAAGAGGCTAAAACTATTCACTCAAAATAAAAGGTCTGCTAACTGCAAGGTCAGTGATTCAAACCTACCAGCTGCTGCTCTGAAGCCCTACAACAGGGTCGCTGTGAGTTTGACCTGACTCCACGCCACTTTAACAACAACATACTCAGTAAGACTTTCCTGACAGAGAAAAAGGTGGTTTGGACTGATTTTTGTATTAGAAAGTGTTGTATACAAAAGGCATTAAATACATATCTTGACTGTATTTAATCTTTTTAAAACAAAGCTTTTAAAAACAACCAGAGAGGACGTTACCAGCTCGGAGGTGGCTAATACACTCAAGGTGCTGATCTGTGACGAACATGCAGCCTAAGAATAAAAAGCCTTATTACACTGTCTTCAGTACCACATTGCAGTTCTCTTAAAAGAATGTCCCGCTTTTCTCAGGCATAGTAAACCGTGCTGAGGAGGAGACTGAAATACTGTCAGCTGAAGAGAAGAGTGTTCTGTGAGAGGAAAAATGAACTGACGCTGGAGTCAAGGATACCTGGGTCCAATCAACACTGTGCCATTTACTACCCGTGCAGCTTGTTCCTGAATCTTCAAGTCAGGGAACACGTTTACTATGGAATGAGGAACTAGAAAGGAAAACACAGCGAGTGCCTAGCCCAGGAGGTTTCAAATGAACATCTTCAGGTTCCCACTCCTTTTGCTGCTTCAGGGAACTCTATTTAAAGCCCAGTAGGCTGGGGTACCATTAAGCAATCAATCATTTCTGTTTGTTGATATTACTATTTATAAATTTTACATTGGGTCTCTCTGTGTGTACTTGTACTACTTTATCTTCTTTGCTCATATAGTCACCTCCTGGGGATAAAAAGTCTTTTTTTGACATTTGAATCCCCCCACAGCACAGTAAGCATGGTAGCTACATGAATGTTTGTGCATTTCCTTTAATAAATTCTACTTGTGTCTATGCTTGCCTCTATTTCATTAGGGCTAGTATGCCATAAAAGGAGCTCTGGTAGCATAGTCGTTACGAATTGGGCTGCGAACCTCAAGGTCAGCAGGTCAAAACTACCATCTGTCCCGCGGGAGGCTTTCTGTTCCTGTAAAGATTTACAGCTTCGGAAACCCTGTACAGGGTTGCACTGAGTCGGAACCGAGTCCACAGCACATAACCACCACCACCAGCATGCCATAAACTCCAATCACATCCTCAGAGATGTTCAGGAGACATATAAGAAATGGTGTTCCTTACAGAAAGAAGAGGCTTCAAATTTCCTCAGGAACAGAAACAGACACAACCGCTACCTGGTCAGATAGCAGTGACTCCGCAATATAGAAGCTAAGTGCTGTTTTCCTCTGTAAAAACTGGTGATGCTGGGATTGTAACCATGGCAACGAAATAATATACGATAGGATGAATGTAAAGCTAATGCTCTCCCATGTAAACTATCACGTAATTCACAATAAAACATTTTTTAAAAAAACCGGTGATATCATTTGCTCTGACAGGCCTGCAGGTTCTAGAGTAATAGCGACCCTGGACCCACAGAGAGTAGATTCCAATACAAGGAAGACAGCGCTGGTACCCGTGAAGGTGATGCCGAAGACCAGGTCACCCCGTTTCTGGCCAGGCCTAAAGAAAGTCCTTCCTTCCTTCCTGGAAGCGCCACCTGCCCGTCCATCAGCAGCCTTTCCTATCACCTTCCCGTTTTGTTGTGAGACCATCAATAAAGAATACTGATCAGGAAAAACTCTTAGATTTTCTTTCCTAAGAACACACAACCAAACTGATGGTTCTTATTCTTCAGAAAGCTGTACTGAGAAAGAACGTATTTTAAGCGAACCATAAAAAGGAAAAGCATAAAAATATGATTTTCAATACAAAATAAAAGTCCTACAGACCTCGTTCTTAAGCTACAAATGCAGGAGCTGAATTTCAACAGTGACCACAAACCATAATACCAGGATTCTCAAAGCTCAAAAAACTTCCTGGGGAGAACAAACAAGATGGCGGATCGGGTAGACGTGTAGTAAAGAGCTCCGCCAACAACAACAAAGAATACCCGACCAAGCAAGCTCAGGGGATGGTCCCAGAACTCTGAACCACATATAAAGGAATACTTAGAAGGTTGGAAGGCTCACAGCTGGGGTAATCTGTGGCAGAAGCAAGAAATCTATTGCTTTCTAGTCCGGGATGCTCGCTGCTCCAGGAGCCGCCATCTTGGGTGAGACCACGTGGGGGAA